GTAATTACTGTGCGAATGGTGTTGTTTCGTATTGTTACATAGTAAGTAGTGTTTGTTACCCGTTTCAACTATGTTTTTTACAGGATAAGTGTAACTCCTGCGGGCTGTAAATTAAAGTGGCGCTTGTTACCTCCTTGTTCTGTGTAGTTACAGGGTAAGTACAACATTAAACCAGTATGCTGAAACAGACAAACCTAGCTTCACCATTAGCATGATCAACAAATTTCTAAATTGTAAAAGTACAGTAGCACAATTAGACCAAAACCATTTATTAAAACAAGTTTAACAATAAACAATCACAATGTTGAAATTACATCAACACAAACTGTAAACAGAACAGAAATAATCTTGAAATCACACTGTACATATTTTGCCAGAAATGTGATGATAACTTTTATATACAACAGACGTACAATTTTTGCCTGGAATATATTAACAGAATAGGTACCTGTTAGTTTAAACATAATTACATTATAAATAATTTGCTTGTATATCTGCTTGTTACCCCTTTATTACCCAACACTTAACATATTGTTCCCTTATACCTACACGGAAGTACACTATAATTACAGAAACGTACACCGTAATTTCGGTTTACTTACGCAGTTGTTTGCGGGTCGTAAAATAAAGTGTTACCAAACTTTTTGCATTATTTTCCTGTTATCTCTGTAAAGCTGCTTTGAAACAATCTGTATTGTAAAAAGCGCTATATAAATAAATGTGACTTGACTTTTATACAGACCCCGATTACAGAGCTCTCGAAGCCAGCTGTACACACACGTAAATCTTTATTCAGAGAAACCTCGCAGCGGAAGCTATAACGCAGCTTTTCTTGCTCTTTAACTGTATATATGTATAACTGTATGAAATGTATTTAAGATGCAATTAAATTGTATTATTTAATCATTTTATTTTATAATTTTACATATGGATTATATAATACAATTAATGCAACATATACTTCGATATAATTATAGTCGTGTTAGGATGAAATATAACGGTAACACTTACAATAAGGTTTGTTAGTTAACATTAGTTAACTTGAACTTATAATGAACTGCACGTATACAACATTTATTAATCTTTGTTAATGTCAATTTCAAAATTTACTAACTTTATTAAAATCTTGTTAACATTAGTTAATGCACTGTGAACTAACATGAACTAACAATGAACAGCTGTATTTTTATTAATGTTAACAAAGATGAACTAATCCAGTAACAAATGTATTGTAACTTCTTAACACGATTAAGGCCGTACAGAGTAAGAGTAACGTGTTTTTTGCAGTGAGAGGCGCCTTTTTTAATTGTTTTCCTATGGCAGTGAGCGTTCTGCGCTGTTTATGCGCCCCAGGCCCCTCGTGTTTTACCGCCTGCTGCGCCTCACGTTTCTGCAGTTGAAAAAAAGCAACTCCGAGTGGAAAAAGCGCCCGACTTCATCGCGTTTTTTTCCACTGTCCAATCGAATGAATGGAGAGGCGGGCCTTCCGTTGTAGTGATGAAAGCTACAGTTGCTTTGAACATCCGGAGCAGCCCTGGAGTTTCATACCTTAGACCGGCCCACTTTAGTTCCCGACCGACTATATTAAAATAATGTAATTAAACCAGTATATAAGTCTGCAATAGTGCACTGTTCTGTACAGCCTTGTAATTCATAGTATTTTTCAAAAATATAATTTTCTATTCAGTGCAATAGCCGTACACAGGGTTTTATAAATACAAAGGTCCCAAAAGTGATCTGGGTTCGGGGGCATATTATTTTTCCACTGTCATTGGCAAAGAACATGTATATCTGTGTTAAATAGGAATCCATTGTAATAAAGTTATTCTCCTTCTGGGCACAGTATGCAATAGGCTATTGCTCTTCCTGCTCTCTGATTAATATGCGCGCGCGAGAGAGAGAGAGCAAAACAACAGCGCTCGTGTTGTTTGAAGACGTGAGAGTGCGCGCGCGCGGCCGAGACGCGCTCTCTCTCTCTCTCTCTTTTCGTTGCGCCCTGTCAAGCGCAGCAGTCATTCTATTCTACATCACTCACCGATCAAAAAAGGCTTTGGCGGGACAAAAAATTGCTTTGGTGACCGCCAAAAAAATTAAATGCTGGAAAACCCCTGTTATTATGTCGAAATAACGAGAATCTCACCTAAAAATCCGATAACATCAGCAATTTTAATTCAAGCAACTGATTTCTGTAAATGAATGTAAAACTTAATGTATATTCCATGCAGCACAGCACAGGGTGAAGTCACACAGTATTTACATTAACAACACCGAATGGCGCTGCCGGTGTGTGTAGAGAATATGTGTTAGAATTTTAAAGACGTGGCGCTGCGCGACGCGGTCGTCCGGTGTGCGACCCACTTTACCCTGAAAATTCACCTCAAAAACGCATCGGAACTGCGAACACAAAATTGGACTTCAATGGGGAATAAAGACTAACAAGACAGATAACAACATTGAACACTACACAAACAGTAGTAATTAATTTGCCATAGTGACACAGGAGGTGCCGGATCCATTAAAAAAGGTTCCGGATCCAACGTCGGAGGTGCCGGAACATGTTCCGGCGTGTTCCGGCTCAAATTAAGCCCTGAGTTCAATTGAAATTGCGATCATAGTTGGCCAACGATGCTTTTGGGAAACACACCCTTGGTTCATTGGCTGCATTTAGTTTCGAGGAATTAAATGATAAATACTCATCTGACTTTTGAGAAGTTAGATGTCTGTATTAATATACATGTAACACTGTTCATTGATAAGGGAAGAAGGAGGTGGGAACCAGCGATCACTTTAATCAATTCCAAAATAACAACAAAATGAAAGTAAAAGCGGCTAAACGACTGAAATGGTTAAAAAGGCTGTATTATTCATGCTCGGCCAGTGGCTGGTGATGTCACTTTGTAAAGAAACACCACTGACCTGTAGACTGAACATACGTGCATGACGTTACCTTTTTCACAAATTCTCATTTTTGTATTTTACAAAATATGGTATCGTTACTATGTACTTTGAATCTCATTTTCAAAAGTTAGAATTTTCAGGCTCCCAAAATGCTGTTGTCGTGTAAATTAACGGTCAAAATGCATTAAAAGTTTTTGTTTTTAGTTGAAAACGGTGTTGTGTAAACGGCTAAGCATTAAATTAAATAGGATTTAATCAAATATTTACTTTCCCAGCCAAAACATTCACTGTCCCTGCCCAAAATAAATAAATTAAGCTATTTCTTTTGTTGTTTTTGACCTATGTAAACTTACAATGCCAACATTTTAGATACCAGTGAAATTTCACAATTCTCAATTCCAATTTACAATCACAGCAAAAACTAATACTAGCCTCACTAACACAAAGTTCAAACATTAATGCAAGAGAACAAAGATACAAATTAAATAAACAGTACTTTAAAGTGCTGGTGAAAACTGTATTATGAAGTAATTGTACACAAATACTTATTAAAACTACAGAAGTTATTTAGTTAAAGTTTTGAATGTTGTGGTGTTTTAAGACAAATTATGTGCAAATTCATCCGTCAACACCACTGAGTATTTTCTGCTTAAAACTGCAGTGTACCAAAGACAGTCTCAAAAACACAGTTTGAAACCACCCTTGCTCCCACCATCACAAACTTGTAACCAATCCCATCAACGTGCTGGGCAGGGCTTATCCAATCATCTCTAAGGATGCTGATTTTTAGAAGGCAGCTGTTTTACTCTGAGATGGCGAACGGGAGCATGGTTTATGCAACTCATTATTATCTGTTTGATAATGAAGTCAGGACAAAGGCTTGTAAAGATGTGCTGTGTGCTTTCCTCTCAATAACAAAATAAGTGAAATTCACAACGTAATTTCAGGAGGAGTGATCCCATCTAATCTTTCAATGAACTGCCGGAGCATATAAGCAGCCGCTCACCTCGCTCTGGCATCAGCTGTTTTGGCATCCCTCCACCTCCCCAACTCCACCAACATAATTTAGGCATCTTGCAACCGTACTCATCATCAAAGCATTAGTAGTCCCACTGAGGGGTTTATCTAAGCTCGAGTTGAAGCTGCTTCCTCGAGCCCCTCCACTGCGGACAACAAGCCAAATACGCTTAACGTTATATGGGCAAAAGAACTCGTGAAACATACAACAAAAATGAGAGTGGTGAGAGAATGGCAGTTAAGAAAGCATCTGGTCATAGAGATGTGGATATGTTTTCACAAGCTCTGAAATTCGGCACAAGTCAGCAATATTTCTGATAATTTATTGGCGTGAAGTTTCGTGCACAATGACAAACAGGACTGCAACATTCAGGGATTGAAATTAACGCCCTGAAACCCACCAAATGTGGGGAAAAATTAACTTTGCCGGGTAACGCTGTCAAATCACATGCAAATTTGGCGTTTCTATGTTTACTCACTTTGCTGGGGAAGTTCGTGTAAGCCAAATCTGCGCGGATCTAGCTCAAATACGCAACTCGTGATCCTCATGATATATTAAATACAGCGTATAGCGCAGAATCTGCTCATATCTGGCTTACTTGAACACACACGTCACTCCGCAACAAATAACGGCGCGCTAGTTCACTTGCATTGAAGTAAGAGCGAATTTTAAAAAGCATTTGGTTAACAGAAAAGACATTGATATTTTCCAACATCCTACACGTTCTGTGTGCTGTATTGATCTGTCCACCTAAAACACATTTTGGGTAAAAAAAAAAAAAAAAAAAAAAAAAAAGGCTGTTAAAATCGATTCCCTATTTTCGTTTTTGAAACTTGTGTTGGTTGGATTTCCGAACGTAAAGTGACAGCCCTACCACAGACCAATAGCAGCAGGCACATCTCAGGACAGCCCAGATAAGGAAAAGTGGAGGGAAAGCACAAAGCAGGAGATCTGGCCACTTGTAATCCAGGGCATCCAGACCTAATGGGCCTTGTTCCTCCTCTAGTGCAAACCACAGGGAACAATGTGTTTTATCTGTATTTATGTATGTCTTCATGTTTTTGTCTGTTTCCTCTTCATATAGCTATCGGTGGCAGTATGTATTGGATTTCTGATGGCGTGGAGCCCGTATGCTGTGGTATCCATGTGGGCGGCCTTTAGTGATCCAGACTTGGTACCTCCATTAGCATTTGCCCTGGCTGCTATGTTTGCCAAGTCATCCACCCTCTACAACCCAATGGTCTACCTCGTCTTTAAGCCTAGCTTCCGAAAATCCTTGTGCCGGGATGCCACAAAATGCAAGAGAACACTCTGTCCCTGCATGTGCCAGAAAGACAGCCAACAAAAAAGAACAGCAAACCTTTCAAAACTGAACACAAAGGATAAGTGTAACCACACATGGGTCCCTAATGGACTGAATGAGAGCCCCCAGACATGCAGACATTGTCCAGAAGGACAAACAGGGCATTACCTGGATATCACACCCCAACGGACAGCACGCATCCTCATTGGCTCCGCCCACAGTGAGGTGGCAGTCAGCCAGCTCTCCAACGAGATAAATAGCGACTTCCTTTAGAGGAAGAGAAACTGATCATAGCAAACATGAAGGAAGGAAGTCATAAAACATTATTTTACCTCAGTACAATGCTAGGGGAAATAAGTATGCTATAAAGTCTCATACTTGGTAGCAAATCTGAATGGCAAACTTGGACATGGCATACATGCCACCCTCAGATATGCCCAAAAATAAAGATTCTGTCATTTTGTACTCTTTCTAATTTCTTCCAACCCCGTATACATGAATTATTTTTCCATAGAACATAATAAAAATGATATCAATGATGCACAAAAATCAATTATTCATGAAGTTATTGAGGTCCAACATGACAGTATGCCTCGAAAGGAGCCATATTTGACTTGAGCTACAGTGTATCAGTGAATAATGATTTCAATTTTGGTGTGTTTCTTACACAAAGCTGTCATGTGGCTGTGGAAGACTTGAAGTACACAAGATATATGTTGTACTATAGAGCTTTTTGATATTTTTGGTGATTTTTTTGGTCACCATGAACTATGAAAAAGAGCAGCATGAAGATTCTTAAAATTCTTCTTTAAATAACATTTTAAAAATAAAAGCATACAGGTTTGGAAGGTAACATAAAGATGACTGTAAATAATGACAATGTTAAATTTTTGTATTATTATTTTGTAAAGCAACTGGGTAACCTTTCATTCAGGCTTTTTGTAGCCAGTTACTGGTTTTAAAAGCATGTTTTGTTTTTGTTTTTTCTTTTAGTGAGAATTTTACATCTAATGACTTTAAATTCTCTTGGTGTACTGATGAAAACCTTCATTCCCATGATTTTTCCAGTGGGATATTGGTTATCAGTGCATGAGCTCACCACCTATGCATTTATTTAAGTATTTATTTATTTATTTAAATCAAGCCTCAAATGCAAGTGATTTATTATGGATAATAAATGTCAGTTTTAGTGATGGAATCTGTCTTTTCCACATGTGAATGGAACTGAAAATACACTATTATATTTAGACAGAATTTAAGCTTGTTTATTTTGATATTTAAGTATAAAATGTTATGATATCCACGAATGTACCCTTTATTTATTAATCAATTAAATATTTTTATTAAAGGTACACTATGTAACTTTTGGCCCTCTAGCGGTTAAAAACAAAATGGCATGAATTTTGCGGAAGAACATTGTTTTGGTTGTGCTTAAGCTCTGCATGACTGTGAATGAATATGGTTATCCCACCTCTCATAAAACATTCACTACTAGGCTTAAGAGATATAACTAGTTTAGATGGAAAGGATCTTAAGCTGACTAGCTGAAGACGTTATTGTAGCTTTACCCATTAACAGACACGGTACTTCCTTGAAAATAAATTCCAGCACAGAACTACAACAACCATGATGAAATGACCTCTGTTAGAAAGCTACACATGGCAATTTATCAATTCAATAGAATCAAATGTTGAGTAATGAAAACTTTAAGTAAATTTTTTTTTAATCCCTCAGTTCTCACCATCTCCGAAAAGCTAAGTCAATCTTGATTATAGTTTTATTACGAGCTCTGTCGCGTTCTCTTTTTGCTAGCAGCAACTCCTCGGTTCAGCATTTTATTTTAAACAGGCGATTTCCCTGAGGTTTGAGATTTAGCATCCTCCATGTCAACCTTCCTCGCTCGTTGAGACAACAAACCTCAGCCACTCCCACATGTATCAAAGTAGCAGGACAAACTTTTCTCTATTAATGGATATGACGAGACCCGTACCGATGAGTGACATCATACAAAATTTCGCCTGAAAAACATCCCACTCGGTCATTGGTGTATTGACTCATTCTTTAAATTTTGATAATTTTTAACAAAAAGTTACAAAGTGCAACTTTGAAGAAACAAATAAATCAAAGCTGTAAAAAAGTAGAACATTGTATGAGTTACATAAAACTTTTACCCCCATTGTGAAAAAAAAATGTGATTGGCCGAAGCAAGTCGATCACAGGCATGTAGTGAAGTATGACAGCGCAACGCAGCATCTAGTTCTCCTCACAGGGTTACGGTCATAACCAAGAAGTTCCCTTTTAAGGGAACTCCACACTGCGTCAGGTGTTGATTCTATGGGAATGTTTACACCCACTATGCCATACTGAGTAGTGCCTGTCCTAGTGTGAATCATGGCGAGAACACATCTAGGGCATAAGCAGGTTATAAAACCTCACAAATGTGTGCAGAGAGGACTAGCCCGCTGCATCACATACTTCCTGCAGGGAAACTCCTGTATATAAGGCTTTCAAAGCCGCCATATTTGTAGTCGAATGTGCTCTGAGAGCCATAGGTGAAGGTTGTCCGCACGCCTTATAGGCAAGAAAGAAATATCCTCTTGCTTATTCTATGTGTACTTGCTGGGGAACCTCGTCTGGGTGACCAAAGCAGACTAACAGTTGATCTGATTGACGCCACAGGCCAGCTCTGTGGACATGAGCATCCAGTGCTCTGACTGAACACAGCACGTCTAGCTTCTCCTGGACCATCGTCTGAAAGGGACTTGGGCAAAAGGCCTGAAAGATTATAGGTCGTGCCATGTTGGTGGGAACCTTCGGAACATAACCTTTAGGAGAGGCCTGTGATGAGAAAGGATGGATATGTGGAAGTATGTGTCTTTGAGATCTATTGTGACAAACCAGTCTTCGGATCTGATTTAAGTCTGATTAACATCTCGCACCTGTATCTCCTCAGAGACCGATTCAACTGTTGTAGATCTAATATGGGACGCAACCCTCCATCCTTCTTTGGAACAATGAAATACTGTCTGTAAAACCCGGAGTCTCTCTCTGGAGGAGGAACACAAGCTCTGGCCTCCTTTACCAAAAGAGACTTGACCTCTTGTTCAATCACCTTAGGCTGCTCGGGACCAACCACTGTGGGTAAAATCCCATTGAAACGAGGAGGGCGGGAACCAAACTGTAGTTTGTAGTTGGGAACCTCTTTCTGTAGTCTGCAGGACCCATTGAGAAATATTTCTCTTTTATTCCTAACAAATTCAACCAAAGATGTCTCTCCCTGGCCACCAGAGCAGCTGTGGATCGGCCTATACACTCAAAAAAATGATATGTTGGCTTTACTTAACTTTTTTATGTAAACAGGTTCCACCGGTTCCACATAACTATGTTTCGTTAAACAAACATAATATGTTCATGTAACTTCAACATCATGGAATTTGGTCATTTTAAGCGACCCAATTAAACTCTGAGCTAATGAGTTAATTAAGTGAATAACTGAGTGATGATTGAGCATTATTGAAGACACCTGATGTTAACAAGCAGAATCTCTGAAGGAGAAAACCGGAATGTTTAAGTCACCATTATGGATATAAGTATTTGTTTTAGTTGTGCTCTTGACCATTAACTTATTAACTTTAGATTTTGTTTGGTTGCTGTACATGAGTTGTAACAGCCAGAGTTGAACAATGAACTGAGGAGATCTGATGGTGTTGGTTGTGTTTTAACATAATCATTATTTCACAATCATTTGACCTCAATCACTGAACTTATATTAAACCGAATTTCTGAGTTAAGTTTACCTTACGAATAATAGCAGCACTGTCATTGTAGAGCATACTATTTTTAGACTTTTCAATGAAATTTAAATGATCAAATCAATAAATAAAAAAGAAACTTCCTAAAAAATATCCTGAGTAGGCACAAACAGACATCAAGAATCAGCCTGTGAATCTCAACAATGGTGACAATTATAAAGCATGTTGCAGTGCATTCTGGGTGCCACCAATCAAAACTCATTCATGGCTCCCATCATGCATTGCTGCATGAATAAATAATGAGCTTATGATCTGTTTGTCACCATTGCTGAGATTCATATGCTGATTCTTGATGTTTGTGTGTGCCTACTCAGGATATTTTTTAAGAAGTTTATTTTTTATTTCTTGATTTGATCATTTGAATTTCATTGAAAAGGCTAAACATAGTATGCTCTACAATGACAGTAAGGTAAACTTAACTCAGAAATTGGGTTCAATATAAGTTCAGTGATTGAGGTCAAATGATTGTGAAATAATGATTATGTTAAATCACAACCAACACCATCAGATCTCCTCAGTTCATTGTTCATCCGGCTGTTATAACTCATGTACAGCAACCAAACAAAATCTAAAGTTAATAAGTTAATGGTCAAGAGCCCAACTAAAACACACACTTATCGCCATAATGGTGACTTAAACATTCCGATTTTCTCCTTCAGAGATTCTGCTTGTTAACATCAGGTGTCTTCAATAATGCTCAATCATCACTCAATTATTCACTTAATTAACTCATTAGCTCAGAGTTTAATTGGGTCGCTTAAAATGACCAAATTCCATGATGTTGAAGTTACATGAACATATTATGTTTGTTTTAACGAAACATAGTATGTGGAACCGGTGGAACCTGTTTACATTAAAAAGTTAAGTAAAGCCAACATATCATTTTTTTTAGTGTAGCCCTGCCCGTGGCACAGAGAGACAGATCAGGTCCTTAAGCAGGCCAGCCTGGTATGCCTGCAAGATGGACATTGTGTGCAGACACTCTCCACCCTTACCTGCTGACGTGTACGGCTTACCCACCAAGGCTGAAGTTATTCCACATCGCCTGGTGGGTAAGGTCTGGGCCTTCAGGCATGATGCAAAGTCAGGGGGTTAGGGTTAGGGTTAGGGGAAAGATAGCTGATGAGTGTCTCTTCCATACCCCTGATCATTCAACCCCAATATTGACCAGTAGTTTGAAACTTGAAGGCTGGAGACATGGGCAGAAAACAGTTTATTTCATTGCGGAGATCGGGAAAGAACGGAAGGTCCCGCCATGGAGGTTGTGCTTTGCTAGGTAGGAAGCCTTTCGAAAGCTGACTGTGCATGCTCTGCTCCCAAACAAACGACACATAAATCAGGTGCATCCCCACCCATGATGTAGAGTGGGAATTAAAACGTTTTTTGCTCACCATATTATGATAAATGCATTGAGATGACTACGGGACAAATGAACAATAAATATGACAGACAATTCACAATTGCGGAAGGCACAGAAGCTGACATTGATTGGTCAAGATGTGTTTTATAGCTTCCTGGTCATGACGTCACATGCTACGGGATGACGTCCCACCATGCCATTGGACTGATTTCACGTGTGCTTCCAGAAGCAATCACGTTACATATTGTTACAACATCTGATGCAGCGTGGAGATTTCAATTGACAGAAAGTTTTATTGATTTGCTGCTTTCTTGATTTGTCGCAATGAAAGTAAAATAATACATTTTTGAATAAGCCAACTCATACAGTGTTATGAAAAAATAAGTAAACCCCTTTTTAACATGTGGGCATATCAACTTTTCACGGACAGAATTAATGGGTGAAGGTTATAATTTATTTAATAACACAAAATTGCTTTGAAACCTTTTTGTTATCTTTTATAAAAATATCTACAGAAATTGTATTGTTGTCTTTGGGAAAAATAAATACACCCTTATATTTCGTAGGTGGTATTGTCTCCTTTTGACAGAAACAACTTCTTGTTCTGCAAGTTCACATACAGCTTCAACCTTTTTACAGATGGCCTCATTTATTTACATATACATTTATTAATTTTGCAAACGCTTTTATCCAAAGCGACTTACAAATGAGGAATACAGCAAGCAATTCATCGTGAAGAGGCAAATAAACACAGGAAGTGCTCAGAATACAAAGTTTCAGACATTGCTCGGAGTA